TAACAAATTATGGATAACACTGAGAAGAATGGGAATTCCAAAACACTTGATTGTACTCATGAGGAATCTGTACATAGCCTAGGAGGCTGTCATTTGAACAGAACAAGGGGACACTCCATGGTTTAAAATCAGGAAGGGAGTGTGTCAGGGTTGTATCCTTTCACCACACTTATTCAATCAGTATGATGAGAAAATAGTCTGAGAAGCTGGATTATATGAAGAACATAGCATCAGGTTTGGAGGAAAACTCATTAACAACCTGCAATACACTGACGGAACAATTTTATTTACTAAAAGTGAGGATAATTTGAAGCACTAATGATAAAACTGAAGACTATAGTCTGCAGTATGGATTAAACCTCAATGTAAAGAAAACAAAAATCTTCACAACTGAATCAATAAGCAGCATCACGATAAATGGAGAAAAGACTGAAGTTGTGAAGGACATCATATGACTTGGTTCTACAATCAACACTTATGGAAGTAGCAGTCAGGATATAAGATGATATATTGCATTGGGCAAATCTGCTGCAAAAGACCTCTCTCAAGTGCTGAAGAGCAAAGATATCCTCTTGAAGACTAAGATGCACCTGACACAAGCCATGGAATTCCCAATCGCCTCATATGCATGTGAGAGCTGGACAATGAATAAGGAAGACCAAGGAAGAGTTGATGCTTTCAAGTTGTGGTGTTGGCAAAGAATGCTGAGAGTACCATGGACTGCCAGAACTAACAAATATGTCCTGGAAGAGGTGCAGCTGGAATGCTCCTTGGAAGCAAGAATGGCCAGACTTCGTCTCACCTACTTTGGTCATGTTGTAAGAAGGGCCCATTCTCTGGAGGATATCATGCTTGGTAAAGTGGAGAGTCAATGAAAAAGGGGAAGGCCCTCAACAAGATGGATTGACGCAGTGGCTACAATGATGAGCTCAGGTATACCAAGGATCATGGGGCTCACACAGGGGCGGGCAGTGTTTCATTATGCTGTAAATAAAGTCACTATGAGTCAGGGACGACTCAACAGCACCTAACAACAACAACAACAATTTACAAATAAAAGAGGTTGAATCTCAGAGGATTAATTCTCTTGCTAAGTGTGGTTAAGAAGCACTGAGTCCTTTAAGTCTACTATACCAATCTTAGGAGCTCTGGTAGCATAGTGGCTAAAGCACTTGACTGCTAACCAGAAGGCTGGCAGTTCAAACCCACCAGCCTCTCCTCAGAAGGAAGGTTGGGCAATCCTACTTCCGTAGTGATACTGCCTCGGAAACCCAAGGAGGGACCCGATTCATAAGTCGGGGCCGACTCGACGGCACATAACAACAACAATACCAATCTTATCTCATTATACTGGCTAATTGAATATTATATAGACATAGGACTTGGGTGTTGATTAAGCTGATTTTTTAGGTTGTGGTGGAAATAACTATAAAATATAGAAAATACTGTGAGAAGCATTGAAGGATGAAAGAACACAGATGTAGCTGAGGATATGTACATAAAGTTATCCATTGGCTAATGCAAAAGTCTAGAATCTTTTCAGATCGAGAGGGCATAGACTGGCTAAGTGATAGAAAATGCTCTATTCTCTGTTCACAACATGTAGTAGTTGGTTTTAATGATATTTAATGAAGACAGAAGTAGCCATGGGCCTGTTTCTACCTGAAGATCACAATACTCAATATAAAGGACTGGTCCAGAAGTACATGGGGAACTTTTTGGGATTTGTCCTATGTCAGCACCGTATGATTAGACAATGTTTACTAGAATGAGTTTAGCCATCATTTGTCTCATGAAGACTTCATTCCACAGTTAAATATGCTAGTTTGTTTGGAAGCAATCAGCCTTAGGACACAATGGCCCTCAAGATCAGAAGAACTAGATGGTGCCTGGCTACCAATGCCAATCACTCAGGAAAGGATCAAATCTGGAGATCCTGATAGGGTGGGAGGAAAAACATGGAACAAAATTCAAAAACTCACTAATGACCAGAATTACTGGTCAGATGGAGTCTGATGAGACCCCCCAGTACTATGGCCCTGGAATACATTCTGTACCTGGAATGAAACTCACTCCCAGGGGCTGGCTGTCAGCCCAATAGTTAATAAGATGTACATGGAGAGCACTCAACCCAGGGGGACACACCCACATAATCTATGGAAATACATTCCTTGGAGCAATATACCATGGGGCACCAGAGGGGCAACATTCACGGAGGTAATGCAGGGCAAACAGGAGTGCATAACTATGAGGGGCACAGTGGGAGGGTTACTGGGCAGGAAGGGGAGGAGACTGGGTGAAGGCATGTTAAATGGGGAATGAAACTAAATGTACACACAATGTGTAATGTAAAACAAACTTAAAATAAATAAATATGCTAGTTTGTTCATCTGTCCATCATCCATTCACAGAACAAACATTCAATACCTACTCAGTATAATAAGCACTACCAAAAAAAAAAAAAAAGAACTGCCATCGAGTTGATTCTGACTCATAGCAACTCTCATTGGGTTTCCAAGGCCATAAATATTTACCTACAGAAATAGATTGCCTCATCTTCCTCCCACAGAGCACTTGGTGGCTTGGAACTGCCTACCTTCTGGTCGACAGCCCAATGGCCTACCTACTGCACCACTAGAGCTCCTTATTGCACTACATGGAAATTTAAAGTGTAATGTGAGGGATGACAATGGCAAGGAGCACAATAAGAACATAATAAGAGTAGTCACAACTCTTCATCAAGAAAGCAAAGTCAATTATACCAGTCTCAGGGTTGGGACAGGAAGGACCACCAGGAACTCAAAAAACAAAAACCAACCCATCACTGTCAATCCTGACTCATAGCAATCCCACGTGTGTCAGAGTAGAACTGCCCCATAGGGTTTTCTTGGCTGTCATTTTTACAGAAGCAGATCATTGTGCCTTTCTTCCACTGTGCCATTGGGTGGCCTCAAATTTCCAACTTTGAGGTTAGCAGATAATTACAAACTGCTTATGGCACCCAGGACCCTAACCAGGAACTCATCTGACTTCTACTTCAGAGCCAGTCTTCTGAAGATGTTTAGCTGGTGCCAAAACGTCCAGAAATATTGGTCAAAACCATGATCTCACTAGCATGATACAGAGTGTTGGAGCCCTAGGAGAATAATGTGAAGTACCTTAGTGTCCTCCTGAGGGGGAAGCTGCTCTCTCTTCTCCTTTAGGCATTTCAACACGGCATCTGTGGTCTCCTCTCCAGAGGAGCTTGGCTCAGGACCTGCAGCTTCTGGCTTCCCATTCTCTCTGGGGACTATGGGTTGCCCACAGGACAGGTTTCTAGGTGGGCCTTTGCGAGCAGTCCCTTGTTCTTCTGACAGCTTCAGCTTTAGTTCTGAGAGAAATGTCATAAGTTACCAAAAGGAAGGATGACTCATTGGCCCTAATAAGAACAGAGAGTCTTTCAGGGATTCCCTTTCCTGATGTCAAGTCATTGAAAATAAAACACACTAATGGTGGCATTCCACAGGACAAGCACATCCTTAAACACTGGAGTCAACTGCATCAGCTCCCAATCAAGTATAACAACAGAGTCAGAAGAAGCTGAGACCTCAGGAAGGTGGAAGGAAGATCATGTGTAAGAATAACTGAGTGGTTTAGGTATCAGAGGGGAAGGCGTTCTAGAGAAGGACCAGTGATGCTCTGCCCCCAAAGGCCCACCCACTACTTATCGTTGTCGTTGTTATGTGCCGTCGAGTCAGACCAGACTCATAGCGACTCCTCCTTGGGTTTCTGAGGTAGTATTTCTATGGAAGTAGATTGCCCAACCTTCCTTCCGAGGAGTGGCTTGTGGGTCTGAACCACCAGCCTTCTGGTTAGCAGTCAAATGCCTTAGGCACTATGCTACCAAAGCTCCTCACTACTTATTACAACACCTGAAATTCTACACTCAAGAAATTATTCACTTTGATTTTAAAAGTTGTGCTGCCAAGAGTCCCGCTGTGGAAATGCAAGTACTTCTGGAAGGCCAACACATTGAAGAGATGCAGGAGGAACAGAAAAGGGGAGAAAGGAGTGCCAGCCCCCAATTGACAGATTTCACAATTTTCTCCAATGCCAGCTTTTAAAAGCCAGGAATCACCATTATTGCAACGTGGTGGCTTTATATATGTATATTGTTCTTGTGTTCTGTCAAGTCGATTTTGACCCTGCAGGACAAAATCCATAAAAACCCTCTAGGACAGAGTGGAACTGCCCCATACGGTTTCCAAGGCTGAAATCTTCATAGGAATAGATCACAAGGTCTTTTCTCCTACAGAGAAGCTGGTGGGTTTGAACCACTGACCTTTTGGTTAGCTGCCAACTGCTTAACTATGTTGACACCAAGCCTCCTTCTATAAGTATAGACAATTAAAAATAAAAAGCCACCTGGGACTTATCAAGATACTGCATTTCTGAACATGCTAGGGGACTTTTCCTTTAAATGAGGTCATTTATATTGATTTATCAGTAACACAGGTCATTTTGTTTGTTTTATATTTGTTTGGTGTTTAACTCTGGCATGGTGTTTAATCACTGCATTTTTATAAACCTGCTACATCATTTGAGTTTAATACCATTGAATTTATTTCCCTTTCTAGTCCTTTAGCTGCCATCCTTCCAGAAACTGGGGAAAAACTCCCATGCCTCTAAGTATTAAAATAAGGATATAGAAGGAAGAAAATAAATTTTTATTAGTAATAATGATAAACCCACTGCCATCAAGTCGATCCTCACTCATAGCAACCCCCATTGGGTTTCCAAGGCTATAAATCTTTATGGAAGTAGATTGCCTCATCTTCTCCCTGTGGAGCAGCTGGTGGGTTTGAACTGCTGACCTTCTGGTTAGCAGCTAAATGTCTTACCCATTATGCCACCAGAGCTCCTTTTAATAATGATGGTCCTTGTAAAATGAATTTTAGAGCTAATTCATCCTCATACCACCAGAGGGAAGAATACTTACTTGGTTAGGAGGCAGGAGAACTGTTTTACACCTAGCTCCACCTTCTCCCAGCTATGCAACTTTTTCTCCATAGGCATTAGTTTCCTCATCTGTGCAATGGGGTATTGGATTAAATATTTTCTCAGGCCTCCTCTGTTTCTATCATCCAAGAATTCAATAAGCCAGATAAATTAATATTTTATATGTTGAAATGTTACTGGCACTGAAGTAAGTCATCCCACCTGGGAGTATGGAGTTCCTTAGATTCTTTGTAAAGAAACATTAAATGGGGCCAACAATGAAGAATATCTACCCACCAAACAAAACCCCCTGCCAACAAGTTAATTGTGACTCATAGTGACCCTGTAGCACAGAGTAGAACTTCCCCATAGGGTTTCCAAGGCTGCAAATCTTTATGGAAGCAGACTGCCACATCTTTCAGAGCAGCTGGTGGGTTCAAATTGCCAACCATTTGGTTAGCAACTGAGTGCTTTAATCACTACCCAGGTAAGTCTCCTTGAAGGATATCTAGGACCCTTTATTTCAAGATAAGGTCACCAATGCAGTCAGGATACAGGTTCAAGAGGACACAGGTGGAAATGAATCAGAAATGCCCTGGAGCACAGGGTCACTACATAAACTACTTCCTTTCTGAGAAAAGAGACCCTTGGCTGACACTTACCTTTGAGCTGTTTACGACCTTTAGCCAAATCATTCATCCATTTCAGGACTTCAGGATTAGAAGTCTTGTCACCATGTGAAGGCTACAGGGAGAGGGGATGGGAGGGAGGGAAGGAAGGAGAGGGAGGGAGAAGAAGAAAGAAAAGGGAAACAAAATTTGTAAATAGCTGAGCCACACAAAGATATTTCAGGAACATATAAAGCCGGGAAACAAATTCAGACATGAAAACTGATGGATCTGATGGAGTTGCTTTTGGAAAACAAAGCAGACATTCTTGACCTCCTCCACTCTTTCAGCTTTGCCATGGGAATTATTTCTAAACACACCATCCAGTATGCCAGTGCCTTCTCCATTCTAACCCTCAGTCACCTGTGGGTCACCACCCTCCACACCCCAATGCTAGGCCATTCTTCGTCTGTCCAGGTGGCTGCACAGGTACAAATCAGTACTTTCTCTCCTGCAGTTGAAATGTTGAAATGTTCCTGGCACTGAAATGAATCATGCCCCCTGGGATCTGGAGTTCCTCAGACTCTTTGTAAGGAAATTGATTAAATGGGGTTTTAGGACCCTTTATTTCACAATAGGATTCTCCATCTAGGCTAAGGTTCAAGAAGGCACATACTCATATATGACCACAACCTACTTGGGCAATACTGCAAAGCAAACTGGAAGATTTAGCTCCTATAAATCAACTCAAAGTTCAAGAAAGAAGCCTTCAGGATCTTTGAAACCTGTCAATAGTCCCACAAACTCAGTCTGTCAGGCAGATTCCCAGCTTTCTAATCGTCCTACTATTTACAGACTTAACATCCTACTTGGCTAGCATTACAATGAAATGTAACATATGTGAATGACTGTTATAGGTTGAACTGTGTCCCCCAAAACATGTTGAAGTCCTAATCCCAGAATCTGGGAACTTAATTGGAAATAGGGTGTTAGCAGATATAATCAAGTTAAAATGTCATTCTGGACCAGAGTGGGCCCTAATCCAATGACTATGTCCTAATATATAAAAATGCGATTTGGACCCAGCAACACAAGAGAGGAGGCAGAGACAGGAGCAACACATCTAAAAGCTAAGGAATGCCAAAAGATGGCCGACAACCATGAGAAGCTAGAAGGAACAAGAAAGGATTCCTCCTCTGGAGCCTTTAGAGAGCTCATGGCCCTGCCAACATCTCTTTCAGACTTCTAGCCTCCAAACTGTGAAATAACAAATTTCTGTTGTTGTAAGCAACCCAGTTTGTGGTTCTTTCTTATGGCAGCCCCAAAATCTAATACAGTGACCCTAGACAAGTTATTTAGCCTCTCTGTACTTTGGTCTCCTAACCTATAAAATGAAGATTATAATAGCATCTCTTTCATAGGATTGCCATGAGGGATAAGTTAATAAGTGTAAAGCACTGAAAATAGTTCCAGGTACATGGAAACTCTATAAAAGTGTTAACTAGAATAACAAATAGTATTATTATTACTACTACTACTAACAGAAGGGAGCTCTGGTGGCGTAGTGCCTAAGGCACTTGACTGCTAACCAGAAGACTGGACGTTTAAACCCACCAGTCACTCCTCGGAAGGAAGACTGGGCAACCTACTTCTGTAGTGATACTGCCTCGGAAACCCAAGAACGGATCTCTATAAGTGGGAGACGACCTGACGTCACATAACAACAACACTAACAGAAGGGTTGTAATAGTGTCACCTCTAGACCTTCAAAAGAATACAGACTATGTCTTCCTCAACAAACATACATGTAAGGATATGTATGCTTATTAAGTAGCTAATCTCATCTTGTATGCAGTGATAAGAATATTTTATTTTAGAAGGCTATAACTCTGTCAATACAAATCATTTACTTGCATCTACTGATTTCTCCTTCTGAGAGGCAAAAAGTGGTTTTTGTACAGAAAAGACAAACTAGGAGAGAAGGGTAGCCAATATACTCATCCCCCCTACAGATCAGCAAGAAACTTTCTTGCACAAGTCAAGGCCAACCTGGTACATACATGCAGGCCCAAGAAGATTAATGGTTACTTTGAAATGAGGCTATATAAAAGACTATATAGCAATTCTCAGCATGATATGATCAGAAACAGACTGAAGTGTGTACACTGATAGTGCCCTAAGTTAGGGGCTCTGCCATGTTTCTTTAGAGATCCACTACTTCTGTGTAACATCAGCAGGTTACTGGTGAGAGGGAGGCATAGGGAGATAAAGAACACGCTCCTCTCAAGTTCAAAGTGGAAAAAAAAACATGGACTTGTGTGACAGGACCTTCAAAAGTATTCTTGAGATCAGGTATGTGAATTATGTAACACAAGACATGATTCTGTCAGTTCTGCAGTGATACAAAAATCCTAAGTTTTAAATGAGATAGAAAAGAATTCTTCCATGAGAGAGCTTGGACAGGAGACTATGCTATCCACTAAGAATCCCTGGTGTCAAGACCAGAGACAGTGACATGTGGCACCCTCCTCCCCCTCCAAACAGCTTAACTTGGTCTTCTAGAATAGTCTACTATTACAAAACTATTCAGGAAACTGCTTCTTTTTGCCAATCATATAGTCCTTTGAGTAACAGTCTGGTTGTAAGTACAGTCAAATATTTTATGTTTCTTTTCTAAGAATTCTCACAGGACTCTCCACCATGATCTGAAAACATACTCTGTTGAATAGTTCTTTATTAGGTCTGCTATATGCATTAATGCCATCTTTTGAAATATGAAAACTAAGACCTTAAACCACTGACCACCAAAGATAAAGCACTTTCACTACTGCACATAGAATTTAGGAGAAATTTAAGACTAAATTTTCTGACAAAGTATTTTAAAGTCTGTAATTAGTTTCAGAAATGATGATTTTTCTATTTCTCTACCCTTGAGGGAGCATTTTTAAGAGATCAAATCAAGCTTGCATGGATGGCAGCCCTCAAATCATATGGAAAGTTTCATATACAAGCTGAAGATCTCAAGCCTTCTATCTTCTGAGCTGAGACATTCTGGCAGACCCCAATGCCCATAAAAAGAAAAGATATGATTTTGTTCAATGCAATTAAAATGGGGCTCCTGAGTCACATACCTGGATGTACCCTTGGACCAGTTTTGTGGTCTACCAAAGAAGGCTTAAAAGATACTTGAGATGGATTTCTTAAATGGGGATGAAAAGACCTGAGTTGTTTTGGCTAGAACAATTCCCCTCTCCGGGCCTCAGTCTCCTCAATCATCAAATAAAAAATAAGACTAGCTGATCCTTTACAATTCTAACATTCTTTGATTCCATTGAAAGTGAAGGTCTGGCTGAAGCTGCCTTTTTCTTGACCCATGAGACCAATGTTGGTCAAATATAAAATCAGTCGGAGGGAAGCAGAGTTTCGGATAGGGATGTGAAAACGTTACAGTCAACATGGAGGGAAAGATGTATGTTGTTCATCAGAACTGCACACAGGCCCTGCAGGAGCTCAGACTCAAAAATTAGCAGTGGGTGCTATTAATTCCACAATCAGGCTGCCAAGAAGTGAAGTCTTACACACAGCAACCAATTAAAGCCCACTGACATGTCAAACCTCTCTAACCACAGCCTGGCACCCTGACAAGAAGGACAAGGGAAGCTCTGTTTCCTGGGTTTTGATTATATCAGAGACTTTTTTACACACTGAATTCTCCTTCCCCTCCTGCTTCCGGATCTTTCCATCTGTATGTGTAAGTGTTTAAGGGCGTGCACACATGTCTGCTTGGGTTTGAAAGCTTATAAAGACAAATGCCAGGAGAAATTCTCCTCCAAAATAGGCAGCAGAAATTGGGCTCAGTGGCTATAGGTAGAAAGATAAAGTGGAGAATTAATGTGGCCAATTTTCCTTCACTTTCTGACAAGGCAGGGATTGTCATGGCGTAGCCTGGTCCAGTATGACATTTTAACTTGATTATATCTGCAAATACCATTCAAACAAATTAAAAGTTAATAATATTTAGGACCACATACTTCTATCACAATAAACATTTCACACGCATTATATCATTTAATACTAAAAATTAAAGTAGTCACAACAAATGTTAGCTCTACTTTATCGATGAATGAACTGACACTCAGAAAGGTAAGGAAACGAGTAGTCTAAAGTTAAGTTCCTAAGTGGCCATGCTGAAATTCAAATACCAGTCTGACTCAAAAACTGCCAGGTAAGACATGTAAGAGGCTCTAGGAAGAGAGCCCTTACTGTTACTCAATAGTTTTCAATGTGAACACATCACAGACCCAATGATACTCCAGTAGCAAACAGGGGAAATAAATTTCTCTCAGAATATCCAGAGCTTTCAAAATCTGTACATTTCTACATTTTACTTCTACTTCACCATTGCAAAACCTCATCTTTATCACTCTAAGCCGGGGCTGATAAAACACAAACTGTCTTAGGCAAGTGACAAGCCTTCTTTAGGCCTCAGCTTCCTCATTTACTAAATAAAGGCCTAGACTAATAATACGTAAAGTATCCTCTTGCTCTATAGAAGACAATAAGCCCCTGTGACTACCAGATTGCTGGGAAAGAAGGCAATCTCTGACACACTGACTAAGATTGTCTGAAAAGCTAATGTGACTCCCCCACCCCATTTTGCAAAGCTGAAAACCACTCCATCAAACCCCTCTTTTAGTGAATCTGAGGCCACTGTAGGAAATACAGGACAGGAAGAATAGGAGAGTGGAATGTGACCCACCTACCTCACTGTCACAAACTGATCCCACACTCAGGGACCTTTTGATTGCCTTAGTACCAAGTGCTTAGTGAAACTTTAAATATTTCAAGACATGCAACAGATTTTTCCCCAGTCTATTTTCATTCTAATAACAAGCTGTTCTGGGCTCTCGGCCAAAGACCCAATATCTTTGTGTAATTTTACATAATATGATATTTCTCTATACTGCAGTCACTGTAAAAGGAACTAAATAAGTACCAGCATTGGCCATTAGGACATTTACTTATGACTACTGTTTCTTATGTGAAAAAAGAAAAGTTCAAATTTCTAACACTGCAGCACCAGCTTGAAGACTGGTGTTCTCTGACAGGAAGGACTTCGCAGGGTTTGAACAAGTATCTCTTGAGAAGTCCCCATCCTTCAACCAGGAAGTACTTTTTTGTCAAAGAAAACTTACTCTCCCTCCATACTGCTCCACAACTGATATTTTGCCCTTTGGGTCCTTCATATTTTATCATCACTATGTAAATGGGAAATAGTTAAAGAAAAGTAAGACCATAATTCAAGTTTTTCAAATTTTGGTGGTAGAAAGACTAGTGATTAAAAGGGGGGTTAGGCTTGATAGTCAAATATGATCAACTGATAGCATCTGAGAATAAGACAAACTCAAGATAGGGAACTCAATTTATGATGGGTTCTCAGCTGGTCAGTGAGAACAGAGATGTTGGCTGAAAGAAAGGGGTACCCCAAAAGGAAGACCAGAGATACAGGAAAACCATACACCTGTGACACAATGTGGTCTTATTTCAAACCACAGGGTCCTTACCCGGTACTTCTTTTCTTGTTCAAATTTTTCTTCAAATTTCCGAATTTTCCGTTTGAGACTCTGGATGTGCTTGGTGAGTTGGGTAATGGTCTGTAGCTCCTTGCCATCCCCACAACTGCATCGTGAAGAACTTCGGGGCCTGCAATGATTACATAACAGGAAAGAGCATCAAGAACAATGGTCTTCCAGCAAACAATGCAGGTCTACAACCAAGCTTCCTGGGAGTCCAGAAGGCAATTCATCATGATAGGTCTATTAGCATCTGCTCATTAATGGTGACCCCAGATCACAGACTCCATTATCCGTAGATATAAATGTCAAAATATTAATCCAGGAAATGAATTTCCCAAAGCCTGGAGAAGACCAATTTAAGTCCAAGAAGAGATAGCTCTGTTGAGGCATCAACCTCAGTAGGTTCCATGAGTGCCATCTGCCAGCATTTTCAAGGAAGATTTAGGTAAGCATTTAACTATTCTTGACTTAATAGAGCCTTTGAGAATCTGAGGAAAAGAATGAGCCCTCTCTCTGGAGAAACGTATACATCTTTCCACATGTACACAACTATACATGTTAATAATAATTCACTAATTCATTCAGTCCAAGGACTCAGGTTTGGATAAATCTGTGAATAAAAACATGAATTATTTACAGAAACTAGAGATATCCTAGGTATATTTTCAGCTTAAAAACAAAAACCAAACCCACTGCTGTCAAGTTGTATCCAACTCATGGCGACCCTTCCTTGGGTTTCTGAGGCATTATCAGTACCGAAGTAGATTTCCCAGCTTTCCTTCTGAGGAGTGGCTGGTGGATTTGAACCGCCCTTCTGGTTAGCAGTCAAGTGCCTTAGGTGCTATGCTACCAGAGCTCCCATTTTCAGCTTAGGGATTTTCCATTTCATTTATGCATCGAAAATAGTTGTGTAATTAAAAAAAAGAATATATAGCTCTCCTTCCCCATTCCAATCCCAAATGCAAATTCCAAACAGACTAGATTTTTCAGAAGCCAATTTAAGCTACCACTTTTCTAGACCCTAAGAACTTGAAGTGAAGGGGAGGAGACAAGGTAATGTCCTGGTGAGATACTTCATTCACCCTGTCCCTCACAACAAAGACCCAACATACAGATCATAATATTAGAACTCTGAGCATTAAATGAAAGGATAAAGAATTAGATTGAACACCTACTAGAAAAAGAAACAGAATGAAAACAGTGATTGAGGAGAGAGATGGAGACCCACCACAGAGTAGCCATTTTGGTACTTGGAAGGCCACATGCATGGGTGAGGAGAAGCCAATTTCATGGAATACCCATGAAGATAGAGAAACAGTATAAACAAATTCAGAGTGAAGCAAATGAGCAAAACACAAGCTAGCTCTAAGAAAAGTGCGGGGAAGAGGGAGAGAACTCCAGAAACAAAGGCAATGATAGAGTAGTAGTAAATAGGGATAAAACTGCTCCAGTCGTTTGCATGAAAGGAGGGCCTGTAAGGTGATGGCTGTGAGTCTGAGCAGAAAACAGATAACTGGGTGTACTTGCCCAGGAGTGCACTGGCCCATGCCAGTGAATGGTAACCAAATAAGTAGGCTCTTCTTCCCCCCACACACACACCTTCCCAGTGACTAAGGGTGAGGCCTTCCCAGCCTCCACCAACTCGGTGGCCAGAGGTGTCCCTCAAGGCCACCTGTCTCTTGTCTAGTTCACTTGGACCATCCTGCCCCATGCCTGCTGCCTACATAGTTGATAGAGTGTGCTCTTGCTGACCACATGCCATGCACCCTCAGCCTCCACAGTCAGGGAACACGTTCTCACATGGACCATGCACCAGGCACCTGTCACTTCTATAATTGGTGACATGCACACACTCAGATCATGCAACACATGCTTGCTGCTTCCCCACAGATAAGGCAATGTGTACCCACTGCCTCAGAGGTGAGTAAGCCAACTGACACACTCGTCTTTTTCTTTTCTCTCTTTTATTCATTTTCTACTTTTTCTGGCTTTTGTTAATTTTTCCCTCTTCTTCTTCTTCCTTCATTTTTTTCTCTTTGCATCTTTTATTTTTCCCCATCCTCAGGGGGTGGACACTGTGTCACCACTAGTCAGCCACACCTGCCATCTACCTACTCATTCAACAGGAAAGTGCAACCAGCTGTTCCTGATCAATGGATCAATTACAGATGGTGGACAACATCTGCTCATCCTGCCTGCAGCTGCTATATACAAACAGCAAACAGAGATCAATGCCCACATTCCCACCCATTATTCCACTGACACAGAGAAAGGTGGGAAGCACCCCAGTGCTACTAACTAGCAACCAAAGTAGCATACACAGCCTGCTCACCCATATATAACAAAACAAAAAATCAGGGTGAAAGAAACCAAAAAATAAATAAAATAACAGTAAAATATCTTGGCGATAACAGACAACTTCAAATCAAACAAAGAAACAGGATAAGATGGCTCAAGCAAAGGATCCAAATCAATAACCAGGAAACCCACCTGAGGAAGAAATGTTACCAGAACTACATGATAAGGAATTAAAAAGATTTATATGCAGGGCTTGTTTTGGTTACCTTATGCTGCTCTGAGGGAAATATACCACAAATGGGAATGGCTCAAACAAACAGAAGTTTATTCTTCTACAGTTTTGGAGGCTAGAAGTCAGAGTTCAAAGTACCAGGCTCTAGAGGCTGGGGTAAAGCCCCTCGACCTTGGACTTCAGCTCTGCCTCTCACTCCTGGCCTACTAAAGCTAGAGGCGTCTCTTCACTCAGGCAGCTGCTGGCTGCTGAGGCTGACAAGGCCAAGGTTGACAAGTAAAAAAGCAGAGTCCCAATAAAACCAAACCACATGGCAGACCATTGATTCAAGTCCACTGAAAGTCCCAAGATCAGCAGAGCATGGCAGGCTGCTGAACAACGACTCAGCTACATGCAGGGTTCAAGCATGCCATAAGGTGGAGACCTTCCTCAAAGTTGCTTCTTATATACTGGAAGCGGCCCACATCCCTAAAGCAGCTACTCAGCTGCTCGAGTAGATTCCACCATAGAGTTAATTACCAGTCCCACCATGGGGAATAACTACATCTAGCTGCCCAGCCACTCAACCAGGCCCAGCCAAGTTGACATACAACCTTAACTACCACAGAGCTCTCCAAGAAAGAGATCAAAAAAACCACATACACACACACACATAAATAAATACCAAGGGAAACAGACAATATCCTAGAAGAATTCAAGAAAACAATAAAGAGCAAATGACAAAGTAAATAGACAATTAGAAACCATGCAAAGCCAGCAATTAGAGATCTAGAAAATTAATACTAAAATACACAAATAAATGACACACTGGAAGGACAAAGCAGTAGAATAAATAGAAGACTGGATTAACAAATCAGAAAACAAATACCTTGACAACAATTAAATGAGGGAAAAGAATGAAAAAAAAAAAAAAAAAAGAAGAAAGGCTACAAAGAATGTGACACACCATCAAGAGGAAAATTTACATGTAATTGGAATTCCAAAACAGGAGGAGGCAAAAGGACATAGAATTTCCAAAGATCTGCTGGCAGAAAACTTCCCTAATACCATGAAAGATGAAAAGGTACATCCAAGAAACTCAATGAACCTCATACAGGATGTTGCTGCTAAGCTTCTTCAAGTCAGTTTTGACTCATAGCAACCATTTTTACAACAGAAAGAAACACTGCCTGGTCTTGTACCATCCTCACAATTGTTGCTATGCTTGAGCCCATCATCACAGCCACTGTGTCAATCCATCTCATTGACAATCTTCCTCTTTATCACTGACCCTCTACTTTACCAAGCATGACATTGTCCCTCCAGGGATCTGTTCCTTCTGACAACATGACCAAATTATGTGAGATGAAGTCTGGCCATTCTCTCTTCTAAGGAGCATTCTGGCTGTATTTTCTCTAAGACAGATTTGTTTGTTCCTCTAGCAGTCCATGGTACATTCACTATTCTTACCAACACCACAATTCAAATGATCAATTCTTCTCCAGTCCTTCTTATGCATTGTCTACCTCTCACATGAACATGCTGCTACTGAAAATATCATGGCTTGGATCAGTCACACCTAAGTCTTCAAAAAGATATCTTTGCTCTTAAGCACTTTAAAGATGTCTTTTGAAGCATATTTGTCCAATGCGATACATCGTTTGATTTCTTGACTTCAACTTCCATAAGCATTCATTGTGGATCCAAGTAAAATGAAATCCTTGATATCTTCAATTTTTTCTCCATTTATCATGATATTGTTCATTGGTCCAGTTATGAGGATTTCTATTTTCTTTATGTTGACATATAATCTCTATCAGTAAATGCTTCAAGTCTTTTCAGGAAGGATGGTTGTGTGATCTGCATATCACAGGTTGTTAATAAATGTTCCTGCAGTCCTGATGCCTCATTCTTCTTCATGTAGTCCAGATTCTTGGATTATGTGCTCACCATCCAGATTGAGTAAGTATGGTGAAAGGATACAACCTTGACAAACACCTTTCCTGATTTTAAACCATTCAGTATCCCCTTGTTCAGTTCAAACAACCACCTCTTGGTCTATGTACAGGTTCCTCATGAGCACAATTAAATGTTCTGGAATTCCTATTCTTCACAATGTTATCCATAATTTTTTATGATCTACACAGTTAAATGCCTTTGCATAGTCACTAAAAAACAGGTAAATGTCTTTCTGGTATTCTTTGCTTTCACCCAAGATCCATCACCCAAGACATCAGCAGTGATGTCCTTCATTCCATGACCTCTTCTGAATCTGGACTAAATTTTTGGTAGTTCCCTGTTGGTGTAATACCACAACTGTTTTTGAAATGTATACAGCAAAATTTTACCATTGTGGGATATTAATTAGTTCTTCAGAAAAGACCATATGTTAGACCACAATGTAAGCCTCAAAAATTTTAAAAACCTCAAAGTAATATAAAGCATTTTCTTGGATCACCAAACTATAAAATTAGAAATCAGCAACAGGAAGATTAGGGGGAAATAATCAAATAAATGGAAACTGAATTAATATCCTGAGTAAAAACTATTGAGTAATAGAAGAAGTAATAAAAAATAAATAAACCAAAATCCTAGAATCAAAGCACGACATACCAAAACGTCTGGGAAACAGCAAAAGGAGTATCCAGAGGGCAATTTATAGTAATGAATGTATACATCAAAAAAGAAGACCAAAATCAACACCTTAACCTAACAATTCCAACAATTAGAAAAAGAACAGTAAAAAAGGCCTACAGCCTCCAGAAAAAAGGAAATTATAAATATTACAGTAGAAATGAAAGAGAAAACAACAGAAATAATAAGATTGTTGTTGTTGTGTTGTTATGTGTTGTCAAGTCGGATCTGACTCATAGTGACCTCTCCTTGGGCTTCCAAAGTAGTATCACTATGGAAGTAGATTGCCTAACCTTCCTTCTGAGGAGTGGCTGGTGGACTAGAAGTTAGTTATTTGAAAAGATTAACAAAATTGACAACAAAAACTGGCAAATTTAACAAAGGAAAAGAAAGCAAAGATGTAAATAACACAGATAAGAAATGAAGTGGGTGATGTCACAACAAAACCAAACAAAATAAAAAGGTAGTAATAGAAAACTAAAGAACTGTACTCCAAAAATTTGAAAATCTGGAAAAATGGAGACATTTCTAGAAATACACGACCTACCTAAACTAACAGAGAATGAAGTAGAAAATTTGAACAGCCCATAAAAAAAGAAGAAATTGAATCGATTGTAAAAATACTCCCAAACAAAAATTATGCTGGCCCAGACAGATTCACTAGAGAATTCTATTAAACATTCAGAGAAGAACTGGTATCTATTCAACTATTCCAGATTATAGAAAAGGATACTCCTAAATGCATTTTATGAAGCAAGCATAACCCTGATACTAAAGCCAAGCAAAGACACATTGCTTTTCAAAAAATAAATAAAATTACTGACCAATATCCCTCATGAATATAGACATAAACATCCTCCACAAAATCATAGCCAACAGAATCTAACAACCTATCAAAAATACAACACATCATAACCAAGTAGGATTCATACCAACTATGTAAGGATTGTTCAACATTAGGACAACAATCAATGTAATCCATTACATAAATAAAACAAAGGAAAAGAACTACATGATCATATCAATCTACATAGAAGTGGCATCTGAAAAAATCCAATACTCATCCCTGATTAAAACACTGAAGAAAATAGGGAAAGAAGGGAAATTCATCAATATAATTAAGGGCATATCTACAAAACCAATGGCCAATATTATTCTCAATGTGGACAGACAGAATTTTCTGTGTGAACAGGAACTAGGTATGAATGCCCTGTGATCTCTCTTATCTAATATTGTATGGAAAGTCCTAGCCCGAACAATAAAGTAAGAAAGGGGAATAAAAAGCATCCAAATTGGTAAGAAAGAAGTATAACTATCCCTGTTTGCAGATGATATGATCCTATATGCAGATATTCCAGAGATTCAGCAAGAAAACTACTGAAACTAACTGAAAGATTCAACAAAGTGGCAGGGTACAAGATCAAAAAAGAACTCTGAAAAGGAAATAAGGAAAACAATAACATTTATAATAGTTTCTCAGAAGATAAAATACTTAAGAATAAGCCTAACCAAAAAGATTTATACAAATAAAACTATAAAATACTACAGCAAGAAATGTAAAAAGACCTATATAAATGGAAGAATATATACCATGATCATGGATAGGAAGACTTAACATTGTGAAATTATCAATACTTGCCAAAGTGATCTATAGATATAATGCAATTCTAATCTAGAATCCATTAACATTCTTTAAAGTGATGGAAAAAACCAATCACTAACTTTATATGGAAAGGGAGGAGATCCTGGATAAGCTAAGTAACACTAAAGAAGAACAAAGTAGGAAGCCTCACATTTTCCAATTTCAAAACCTACTATATATCCACAGTAGTCAAAACAGCTTGGTACTGGTTCATGGACAGACCACAGACCAATGGGACAGAATTGAGAACCCAGAAGGAAGTCTATCCACCAATGAGCAGCTGATCTTCGACAAAGAGCCAAGATCCATTAAATAGAGAAGAGATAGTCTCTTTAACAAATGGTGATGGCAAAACTGGATATCCACTTGCAGAAAAATGAAACAAGATCTGTACCTCACACCTTATCCAAAAATCAACTCAAGATAGATCCAATACCTAAATATAAAATCTAAGTTCATCAAAGAAAATACAGGCATTAACTGAGGGACTGTTTTTATGGCATAGATAGTCTATCAAACGTAACCAAAAATGCATAAACCAGATGACTGGGACTTCCTAAAAATTCAACACTTAAGCACATCGAAAGACTTCCCCCAAAAGAATAAAAAGAGAACCTACAGACTGGGAAACATTTTTTAGCAATGACACATCTGACAAGGGACTCATCTCTAAAACTTATAGACAGTTTCAACACCTCAACAACAAAAAGACAATCCAATTTATAAATGGGAGAAGATAGTAACAGACACTTTACCATAGAAGACTTTCAGACAGCCAACAAAAATATGAGGAAATGCTCACAACCATTAGCCATTGGAGATGCAAATCAAAACAAAAATGAGCTATCATCTCACTCTAGCAATAATAACAAAGGTCAATAAGATAGAAAACAACAAATGCTGGCAAAAGTGCAGAGAGTTTGGAACTCTCATATACTGCTGGTGAGACTGTAAAATAGTATAACCACTGTGAAAAATGGTATGACACTTTTTTAAAAAATTGGAAATAAAAATACTATTTGATCCAGGAATCCCACTACTTGGTATATATCCTAGAGAAAGACAAAGAGAAAGAGCAGGGACATGAAAAGATGTATGTTCATCACAGCATTACTCATAATAGCAAAAAGATGTAAACAACCTAAGTACCCATCAAAGAATGAATGGATAAACAAACTATGGTATATACACACAATGGAATACTATGTAACATTAAAGAGTAATGAAGAATCTATGAAACTCCCTATTATGTGGATGAATCTGGAAGAAATTATGCTGACTGAAATAAGTCAATCATAAAAGGACAAACATTGTATGAGATCACTATAATAAAAAGTCAAGGAAAGGTTTACACAAAGAAAGAAACCTTCTCTGATGGCTAACAGGGTTTGGAGAGGAGGGGAGGGAAAATCACTAACTTGATAATAGATACATATTAATTCAGGTGAAATGAAAGACAATATACAATAAGGGAGACATCAGCACAATATCTCTAAGGCAAAGGAAGACCCTGAGAGGTGCACAAGAGTTGCAGACAACAAAGGTAAACACTATTACATACACAATCCTGTAGTATCAGTTAATAAAAAAAATAATGCAAGCAGAACAGGTATGGGTAGGTGAATAGGACTATACCCATGACCATATATAGGTTTGGCAAAGGGTATTTTTACATATATATTTATAGGTGCAGGAGCTCTGGTGGCATAGTGCCTAAGGCATTTGACCACTAACCAGAAGGCTAGTGGTTTAAACACACCAGCCACTCCTCGGAAGGAAGGTTGGGCAATCTACTTCCATAGTGATACCCCCTCGGAAACCCAAGGAGGGGTCATAACGAGTCGGATCTGACTTGGCGGCACATAATAACAACAAGAACATAAATATATTCATGTATATGGAAGAGCAAAGAAGAGGCAAAGTTATGAAAACTACTTAACCATAACCACATACTTGAGAGAAGGAGTCACTGGGCCTGGGGGCTTAGGACCACAGTCTTGGGGGGCAGCTAAGTCAACTGGCATAACATAGTTGACAAAGACATCCTACATCCTATTGTGGTGACTATTAACTAGAATCTTTAAACTAGCGAGTGCCCATCTAAGATGCAACTCTTCCTCTTTCCCTGTCTGGAGGAAAGAAGAGTGAAGAAAAGCAAACACTCAAGGAAAAATCAGTCCAAAGAACTAATGAACCACACAAACCTCCGGTACCCCAAGACCAAAAGAACTAGATGGTGCCCAGCTACCACTGCCAACTGCTCTGATAGAGACCACGGACATTACTGGGCAAAATGGGAGAAAAACGTAGAACAGAATTCAAAATCACAAAAAAGACCAGACTGTGAGATCTGACAGAGATTGGTGGAACCCTTGAGACTGTGGCCCTTAAACATCCTACTAACCTTGAACTAACCCCACCCCTGGGGATCACCTTGCAGTGAAACAAAACACAGACCTATAAAATGAACAATAACCCTCGTGAGCAACATACTCCTCAGAATAATCAATTGTATGAGACAAGAAGGGCAGCACTTGCCCAAAAGCAAAGCTCAGAAGGCAAGAAGGGGCAGGAAAGGAGGACAGATGGAAACAGGGAAGAAGGCAGGAAGCGAAGAGTGCTGTTTCAGCAACAGAATTGCAACTGATGTTACGAAACAAAATGTGTTTAAATTCCTGAATGGAACACTAATTTGTCCCATAAATTTTTACCCAAACTACAATTGGCAAATCTACAATCTAACCATCGAGGAGGTTTCCATCTCCAGCGAGATGGAAAGAATATTGAGCTCCTCAGAAATGATAATCCTGATGTTAACATACATGTACTTTCTTAGAATTCTGGTCATTTCACCAAAAGTGTTCAAACATTCGAGCTTTAGGGGATATTGTATCTCATGGCCATTTCCTCCTGAGACATTTAGGCCTACAAAAGCATTTCCAACTAGAAATTACACTGATTTTTTCATTTATTGTTCTAAACTTAGACCTGCATTGTTAGGCATGCTTTCACTCTTCCAGATATGCACACTTCACTGTAGCTTGTAATTGTATTATCTGAAAATTCATATGAAATAAAGATAATGACATAACCAGACTTTCTTATTTCTTACATCATAAACTGCTGAGTGCTGGGTGGGGAAGGGGCGGACTCAGGGTCTAAGTTGAATCTCTGGCTTTGGCTGAAGATGGAGCATCGTGGTGACAGCAGCGGATTGTCCCCATCAGTTATGTGATAAAGCAGCCTGCTGGTCCCAATGGACTGGAGGTCTTCCAATCCCTCGCTGGCTTCGTTCTGCCAGTCTTTGTGGAGCGGCACAGGGTCTGGGGAAACAAGATAAATCATCAAGATTTAGAAGTGACAGAGTGTTTGTGACTGTTCCTAAATAAAGATCATAAACATTCATTATAATGTCTTTCTCTTGGTCATTTCTTCCTTTAGGGGATAGAAAAGGCTTTCAGAATATGGTCACATGTGTTCTCACTGAACCTGGTTAGAAACTATAACAAAGCCACTAACAAAAAATGGAAACACAAATTGTTTCAGTGTGCGTTATAGAGTCAACATAGCCCAAATTCTACAAAATTTCTCCTTTTATTTCAAAGCATTTGCATATATGTTGGAGGGTATATTACAAAAAGTTATAGTCAATAAAAAGAAAATCATAGAATGGAGCTGGAGAAAAAACAGGTGACAGATCAGGAGGATGTAAAGGAAGACAGAATTGCCAAGGAAGGCAGAAAGAGGAGGGATGGGAAGGAACAGAGAGGCAAGAACAAAGAGGAAGAGATGGGAGAGGAGTCTCCAGACACAAAATTACTCAGCAGCCATTAAAAATGATGGCGTCCTCTGCTTGTCAACATGGAACAATGTTCAGAGTGAAAATCAATAACTTCAAAACATGGTTCTGTTTTACCTAAAAAGCATGCATTTTGTGTAAAAATAAATGATCAATCTGCAAAATATTGAGATGGACCACGAGGGTTCATAAGTAGCATGCAGGTACATTCTAAAATGCCAAACATGAGCCTTTGTTGGTTTTAAAAGGTAAACAAGCCAAAAGATTGTCCACGATTCTCATGAGGCTTAAGCATTAGGGTTCCTGGCCAGCCTCTCAGGCCAGATAACAAGGAGGAAATACTGTCACACATGAAAAGACGGTTGTCCTCTTCTCAAATAAAAACAAAAATCATCTACATGATACATGCATACATGATGGATTCTCATCACAAAACATGGTAGAATTTGCAATGATTCTATTTTCTTCTTCAAAAGTTAATGTAGTGCTTCATTTTAGATCTAACCCGATCAAACAAAAGTCAAACGCTGCTCCAAACTCTCTCCTCAGCTAGCCATTTTGTGTGGGAAATCTCACTGTTAATATCACGCTTTAAAGTAGCCCTTAAGCTGGTTAGACTATTGTGTGTTTTCAACTGGCTTCTCCACTGTTAGGTTGTAGACTGGAGGGTAGATATGCCTTCGATTGCCTTTGAAGCTCTCTGACAGCACTTCTGCCAACAGCTGAGACAGATCAGAAATGGGCATGAGTGTTGGCAAAGAGTTGGAGCCAGCTGAGTGCCAGTGTCTCAGTCAAGGTGTACTGGTGTGAATGACAGCAAAACCCTTGCTATGAATAATTTTTCCAGAAAACACTGTGGTTTGACTGGAAACCTAAGGAGTAACAGGAGTAGCAATTACTATCAATACATCACAACTTACACTAAACATCACCTTCAAAATCCACCAAGAGGTGTATGGGTTCCTCACCCAGTTAGTTTCTAAAATCATTAGATTCTAAGAAGAAATGCATTATATTTGTGTTCTCTGTTTCTTAGAAGAATCTCCTGGTAATAATTATGAGGAAGAACAAAACCTTTAACAAGCACCTTATAGCAGCAGCATCACAGTTAGCTGCCATGCGACTAGCACCTGATCCATGGTGACCCCAGGCAAAATGGGATGGATCACTGTGATCCAAAGGGGTTTCACTGGCTGAGTTTCAGAAGGAGATTGCCAGGACTTTCTTCCTCCTCTTAGTCTGGAAGCCCTGCTGAAAGCTGTTCAGCATCCTAGTAATAAGCAAGCCTCTACTGATAGGTCCAAGGCCTTCAACCTTGGGTCTCAAGATTTCCTTCAGTGCTGGTTTATAATACCAAAATGGAGGTGTTTCAGATCCTAGCTTCACTACAAAGATATGAAGTGAAACTGGAGAAAGTATCCAGCCTTTGAAAGACACTGTCCTAAGCTATAACTATACAGAATCATAGATTGCTATAAATTGCTCTTTTTGAACTGCGTTGTAATAGTAACTATAAAACTCCATTTATGAAGCATCTGTTTTCCTTGGGCATTCACATAATTTACCAGTGCTGTCTAATTAACATCCCTCCCTGCCTCCGCGACAAAACTCACCATTGAAGGGAACAACCAGCCTGAAAAATTCCAAAGAAACCAGTTGAAAGCAGCAAAGAGTCAAAAACTAGTAATTTGGTGGTGCCTCAACAGTATGCTGTTGGAAGTCACCATTTAAGTTGAGAATTGGCTTAATGAACTCAGTTGGCACGTGTATGTGTGTGCACTTGTGTAGACAGAATTACTGAGCTCCATGCTCAGAAGAGGCCAGTATCGATTCAGAGCCAGCCAGCACCGCCATCCTGGGAAAACAGCCCAGACCCTGCTCCCTCCCAGGCTGGACCCAGACAGGGAAGCTTATGGCAATATTAAACTTAGGTGGCTTCTGATGATTCCCTGGGACATTTTGCTTTTTCTTTCAAAGGTAGGGGCACTTGCCAGGGCCCACTGTGTAATACACTATGTTTTAAAGGAAGGGGTCTGGGAGCCAGGAGTCCTGTTGTGCTGTACTTTCCTGTGGGGCTCCAGGTAAGTTTCCCACCCCCCTTACCTTCCTAGTTTGTCATGACTTAGTCACAGTCAGGGCTGTGATTAAATAATAATAATAATAATAAAGGGAGACAACAAATATGAAAGCATTCCTGAGAAAGGAGTAAGAAAGCACACAAGGGCAGCACAGTAGAAAACTTTCTAGTCTGAAACCTAGGTCTACCACTTGTTAAGAAGGACTTTGGAAATAGCAGACCTTTTAAACATCTATTTCTTTATCAGTAAAATGGGGGGAATAGTGGAGCTTCTGCCTCACAAGTCCAAGTGAGGATGAATGACAAGAAACTGTATCCCTTACAAACTTTTTGCCATATCTACATAAACCCTGTTTTAAACTACACATATATACATATATACATTTTAATTTGATTACTAGATTATATATATTTAAATTTCAACCTACTTTTTTTTTTAATTGCAGCTTCAGCCTAAGCAATGATGGACAAAAAACCATAATCTTGATGTGTGAGTATATATATATATATATTTGCTAAAATGCATTAAGATAAATTCCTATTAAAACTAATAATTTTGACCCATATGTCCAGTATATATTATAGCTGGTAAAAGATTCAGACAAGGCATAAAAAATGCCTAACACATTATAAGAATCATCATTTAAATTACTGTTATTATCAAATTAAAGGAATGAATATTACCTTCCCTTACTAAGAACCATCCTCACCAGGAGTCCCTAGAGTGTTAATATGGACCATGAAAACCAATATACTTCTCAACATGTTGCCTCTCCAATCAGTCCTTATTTATAAATAAGAATAACCAAATTTAATATTTATAGAGTAACTCACTATGTCCTCAAACTTGTTCTAAGAGTGTCACACTTATCTAATCTTCACCACAACCCTGTAAGGCTGGTGGTGGTAGTATGGTGTCCATTTTAAATTCAGTAGGGAAGGTGGTATATTAACTCTGTTCAGGCAGAGTTTGATCAGTGCTTGCCTCAGAGGGCAGAAGACTCCACAGAACACTTTCAGGCTCCTCACTCTGACCTGGGGCATAAAAGACTGTTTCTGGCAGTCCATTCACTGAGCAGAAGGGAAAAAAGAATAGAAATAATTATCAGTGCGTGAAGGCAAAGATCCAGCTGTGACCCCAGGCAGAAGCAGATGCTGTATTATAGCTGTTATATGAGCCAAACTAAAAAAAAAAAAAAAAAAAAAAACCTCACTGCCATCAAGTCATTTCCAACTCACAGAGACCCGTATTGGGTTTCCAAGGCTGTAAATCTTTAGAGAAGCAGACTTCCTCATCTTTCTTCCTTGGAGCAGCTGGTGGGTTCGAACCACCAAACTTTTGAGTAGCAGCCAAATATCTTAACTGCTATACCACCAGAGCTCCTTGTTATATGAGCCAGTCAGATTCAAAAGTACACCTTTCTAATGTGAATTTTAAAATGATTCAAAATTTAAATATATTTCTATCTGCAAAATCTTGGGATGGACCGCTAAAATTTAACTGAATAAGAAATAAATTCACTATAATTTTGTGGATTTGTTAATCTGTACTCTTGGGTTTGCTCATTGTGGCAGGCTCATAGGTAGCATTCAGGTATATTTTAAAATGCCAAATATTAGCCTTTGTGGGTTTTAAAAGCTAAAAAACCAAAAGCATGTCCATGATTGTAATGAGGCTTCAATACAGGGTTCTCAGCCAGCATGTCTCAGGCCAGATAACAGGAGGAAAATAGTGTCACACACACAAAGATGGCTAAACCATCCCCCCCCACACACACACAATAAAAACAGGGACATAAATAAAACAAAATAAAAACCATATGATGAATACACGATGGGTTCATTTTTACTTATATTTAATTTAAAGTGCCTAGAGGAGCTCTGGTAGCCTAAGGCATCTGACTGCTAACCAGAAGGCTGGTGATTTAAACCCACCAGCCACTCCTCGGAAGGAAGACTGGGTAATCTACTTCCGTAGTGATACCGCCTTGGAAACCCAAGGAGGGGTCGCTATGAGTCAGATTCGACTCGAAGGCAGTGAGTTTGGTTTGGTTTAGAGGCACTAAAGGTGTACAAGGTACTAAGAGGTACAGAGTCATGAGAATGAAAACACTGGTATACCTGAAGTCATCATAATAACTACTTCTGGGGAAACAGGTGAGCTTGCTTCGTTAGAGACCAGAGAGAGAAGCAGTACCACCAATCTTAGGATGTATGGAGTAGGAATGAAGGCAGATGAAATGGCATTCTGGGCTGGAGAGGCTGACCAAACCAGAAGAAGTCAGCATGCAAAGGAAGCTTCTCTTGCTAGCTTCTGAGGACAGCTGCCAGAAACACCAGTAAGAGAGACAGGCAGGAAAATTCTTATTATGAAAGTCGGGCTGCATCCATGACAGGCAGCACCCTGCAAATCCCAAGAGGTAGTTTGCTATCATGGATAAGAGCAA